CCGTGGCCGCCCTGCTGCGCGGGCCCAGCCGCAGCGCCGGGTTTCCCCTTGGCCCGCCCGCCGCCCTGCGCACGCGCGTCCCGCCCCTGCGGCAGAGCGGCGTTCCGGGCCCGGCTGCCCTCTGCCGGCCGCGGGTGGTGTGGCGTCCCTGCCAGGTGCGTGAGGCGCGGAACTGAGCGCACGCCTCTGGCCTCAGAGCTGGCCTTCTTAGGGTCATGCGTGTCCCTGATCCTGTCTGAGCCTGTTTATGCCTCTCTGAAGTGGGCTTGCGAGTATTTGTCATCTACTTAGTAGCCGTAGGGCTTCCCCTGATATTTCACACTTCTCTCCTCTCCAGACGTTGTAATCGTTGTAATCGTCCATCCCGGCCATCCAGGTCTCCAGGCCTGTGCAGGAGCCACACCATGAACACATCCCCAGGCACAGTGGGCAGCGACCCGGTCATCTTGGCCACCGCGGGCTATGACCACACGGTGCGGTTCTGGCAGGCCCACAGCGGGATCTGCACACGCACCGTGCAACACCAGGACTCAGTATCCTCCACCCAGAGGGAGGCACTGGGGTGGGAGGGATGTCACAGTTCAGCCAGGTCTGGAGGGGGAGGCTCTGAGGGCCCTGGCCCCAGGCCCGTTCTTGCCCTCTTCCTTAACGACGCAGCAGGTGAACGCACTGGAGGTCACACCGGACCGCGGCATGATCGCTGCTGCAGGTATGGGCCTGCTTTGCCCTGAGCTGCTGGGCCGGCCTGGTGCAGCCGAGCTTCAGCTCCACCTGTGTCCCTAGGTTACCAGCACATCCGCATGTATGACCTCAACTCCAACAACCCCAACCCCATCATCAGCTATGACGGCGTCAACAAGAACATCGCCTCGGTGGGCTTCCATGAGGACGGCCGCTGGATGTACACCGGCGGGGAGGACTGCACGGCCAGGATCTGGGACCTCAGGTGTGGCCGCTGGGCAGGACGACCTGCTGCCTGGGGCAGGCCGAGGCCAGGCTGCGACAGCACTTGGATGGGCTGTCTCCAAGTGTGGTTGGACCGGGTGCTTCATAGGGGCGATTTGTGGAGGAAAGGGGAAACCGGGGTCCAGCGGGTCGTATCCAAGAGCCAGTCCTGCCTTGATGCCAGGCTGGCCTTCATTCCCTCAGGCGGCCGCTGGATTAGGCCGCCCGGAGGGAAGGGCAGCTTCTGTCGGCAGAGGAGCAGGGGTCTGTGGGCAGGGAAGGTGTGTGGTGAGGTGCCCGCACCCTACAGAGTGTGCCTGCACCCACAGGTCCCGGAACCTGCAGTGTCAGCGGATCTTCCAGGTCAATGCACCCATTAACTGCGTGTGCCTGCACCCCAACCAGGTGAGGGCTGCTCACAGGACTGGGACCTCCAGGGCTTTGGGCCCCGCCTCACCTTGCGTGCACTGTAGGCGGAGCTTATCGTGGGCGACCAGAGTGGTGCTATCCATATCTGGGACTTGAAGACAGACCACAATGAGCAGCTGATCCCAGAGCCTGAGTTCTCCATCACATCCGCCCACATCGACCCTGACGCCAGCTACATGGCAGCGGTCAACAGTGCCGTGAGTGTTGGGGTGGGTGCGGAGCAGGGGCAGCTCGTTCCTGGCCCCTTGTCCCCTGCAGTCGGGCATCCCCCGCCCCTCCTCCTACGCTCAAGCCAGAGACAGGGTATTGCTCCCATTGCCACCTCTTGCCCGCCACCACAGCCACTCCCTGGGGCGGAGCCTGGGTCTCCAGTCTCTCAGGCCCGTCACTTTTCGCCCTCCTCCCTGAGAAAGGGCTCGTCGGTCCTGAGCGGGGTGTGCAGGAGACTGCGTAGCCTGCTCTGCTTCCTGGCCTCCTGTCTCCTGTCACTTCCTGTACCTCTCTGCGTAGCCATTATGCCGTGTGTCCACAGACTTCCTAACCCCCAGCTTTTGCCTGCACTGTTCCCTGTCTCCGGGTGCGTTCTTGTTCCTGGTGGCCTGCAGTGTTCTCCAGGACACATGCGAGTCCTTGGCTGGTGTGACCTTCCACAGGCAGGGCGGGAGGTGCCTGCCTGCAGACACATCCACGGCCCCAGGTCCCTGTGCATGGAGGGCCCCCTTACCTCTTCCAGTCTCGTGAAAGCCTCCTCCCCCCAGGGGAACTGCTATGTCTGGAACCTGACAGGGGGCATCGGTGACGAGGTGACTCAGCTCATCCCCAAGACCAAGATCCCGGCCCACACGCGCTACGCCCTGCAGTGCCGCTTCAGCCCTGACTCCACGTTCGTGCGGGGCCTGTGGCTCGGGAGGGGGCCTGCCTGGGGCTAGGGCTGGGTCTTGCCAGGTGGGGCCTCCCTGGTCCTGGCATGGGGGTACAGGGTGGGTGCCGCTGATGCCCCTCTCCCAGGCTCCTGGCCACCTGCTCGGCTGACCAGACCTGCAAGATCTGGAGGACATCCAACTTCTCTCTGATGACGGAGCTGAGCATCAAGAGCGGCAACCCCGGGGAGTCGTCTCGTGGCTGGATGTGGGGCTGCGCCTTCTCCGGGGACTCCCAGTACATCGTCACTGGTGAGCCTGACCCCTGCTCGGGCCTTGGGGCCCACCCAGCACGCTGCCGCCCCGCCCTGGGCCCTCGCCTGAGCTGCCGCCCACCCTCCCTCCAGCTTCCTCCGACAACCTGGCCCGGCTCTGGTGTGTGGAGACCGGAGAGATCAAGCGCGAGTACGGCGGCCACCAGAAGGCTGTCGTCTGCCTGGCCTTCAATGACAGTGTGCTGGGCTAGCCTGTGCCCCTGGGATGGGGATGGAACGCAGGGTGAGACTCCACGGGCCTGACCCGGCTCCCCAGGCCTCGCAGCTGGCTGCTCATCTGGATCTGAAGAGGCTCAGCGAGCCCCACCAGGTGCCTGGGACTGGACTGGGACAGCCAGGCTTCTGGCAGACACTCTGGATCCGTGGCTGGCAGCTGCTAAGGAAGACCCCGGGCTGGTGCCCAGCCCCACGCGAATGCACCCCACCCCTTCTGGCCCAGTTCCAGGTCTTGAGGCCACAGAGAACAACGCCATGGCCAGGAGGAAGGTTTATTATCTCCTGCCAGCAGCGGCCCTCCCCAGAGCTGGGGACCTAGCCAGCCCGCTGACCTGTGGGGCAGGGCTGGCCTGTAGGCAGGCCAGGCCAGCTGGGTGCTCAGTCTGGGAGGTAATAAAAGCAGATGGACACGCAGATGCTGCTGGGGAAACAGACGTCGATGCAGAGGTAGATCAGCCGCTGCTTCTGGGGCCCTGTGGGTGGGCTCTGTGAATCTCCAGGGCCCCCAGCCCTTCAGAATGTCCGGGTGCATCCCGGCCTCCCCACACAGCTGCCCACGCTCACCTTCTGCCCGGTGGGCCCAGTAGATGGGGATCTTGGCACAAAGGCGCTGCACTGAAGCCCCCACCTGTGCGGGCTCCACTGTGTGGCCCACCTGCACAGCCAGCAGCTCCTGGGCATAGTGGGCGTCCTGGTCGGCGCTGGGGCCGGGGTTGGGGCTACCAGACCCTGGGGCCTGTGGAGAAGATTCTGGTGGGCCCTGGGCGGGGCACTCCCTTGCTCCTGGCCACACCCACTGCCCTTGTCAGCATTCTGGGAAGACAGAGCTTTCTGTTTCCTTGAAACCAGAGCTGCTGCCTGCCCTGTCCACCTGGCTGCACGGAGGACCCTTTGTCTGGCCCTTGGCCCAGGGCGGAGCCTAGGGGAATGCTCACCCCTGAGGTGTTCACCAGCAGCTGCAGGGTCTCCCAATCTTGGGCCTCCATCAGACGGAGGAAGCAGGCCGGGTGCTCTGCAGGCCGGTAGCAGATGCAGCCCTGGGGAGGCAGGTGGGTGAGGTAGGACCACTGGACGCATGTGGTGGGAGCCCGCCCCGCCCACTCACGCTCTGTAGGGCCACTGGACGGTGTGGGGAGCCCGCCCCGCCCACTCACGCTCTGCCGGGCCAACGGCCGGGGCGGGCTGCTGCTGCTCTGGGGCGGAGTCCCTGTCATCGGCCGCGT